ATAGGAGGAAGGGCTTTCAAGATCAGTCAACCGGGAAGCTGGTCTGTATTTTCAGTGGCATCAACTGAGTGGTCTATGCAGTTTTCATAATCTGAGTGCACACCCCGAAAGGGTGCTTTGCCAATTGCATGATGCTGAATTTTGTGAGCACTTTCTTGTCTCTCCCCCCCCTTTAAATTTAACTTTCCCCTGCAGCTATGAAGCCTTGGAAGCAGGAAAGGAGGAAATCAATAATGTAGAGCAGTTGCCCCAAGGAAATAAGACAAATAATTAAAAGAAATGACTACTGAAATGAAGGTAGAAAAAAACGGCCAACCATTGGGCAAACCCCAGACAATGCTGAGTGCTTCTTGGCAAATTAAGTGGGAAAGATTAAAGCGGGTACTTGCTTTATTAAAAGCCGGAGGATTTTTAAAAATCGGACTGCCCCCTTTCTCCCCCCTCCCTTTCCGTATGGGTTTTGTCTTCCTGATTTTAGCCTCCTGGCCCTTTTCTGCACTGGCACAGTTGAAATGTCATTCCTTTTAGGGTTTTATATTGATTATTATTATTTGCTGGCTGTGGCAGGAGTGTCTCTCTCTCTCTCTTTCTCTGTCTTTGGTTGCAGCAGATGGTGTATCTTATCTATGTACTAAGCGACGGTGTCTCGTGATGTCATTGCAAACTTGGAGTACGGTGCTTTTCTGGAGTGTTTTTTGTTCCTCCACAAATGCTGCACTGAGCTTATTGTGATTTGCGTTTTGGGTCCTCTTCTTTTTCTCCTCCTCTTTTATTTGCCCCTGCCCCTTACATGGGTATTCCCTTCTCTTCTTCAAATCCCCCAGCAGAGAGAATTAAAAGGCAAACCTCCCTACTGACACTTTTTTTGGATTCATTTCTCCCTTGCCCATGATATACTCTATTAGGGGCAAAGGCTGTATCCATTTGCACTGATCATTTGTTTGGTTGTTGTCACCCCCCCTTTCCTGTATTCTACCCCCCCCCCTTTATTTTTAGTTTAGCAATGCAACTGCTTCAGGGTCTTTTGTTATGTCTGTTTTTGTTTTTATCAGGTATTTATATGCAAAGAAAAACCCATTAACTTTATCAAAAAGAGAAAAAAAATCTATTCTTGTCATGGAATTTTGTTTTAACCTTGGAATTTAAATGTTTGGAAATGCTGAAGCACAAACATGCATCATCTCTGTATAGCTGTCCTTCTGTATTAAAAAAAAAGCACTTGGTCAATAAAAACTTGCTGTCCCATCCATGTAGTGAAGAACTTTGGCTGTAGTTGGCACTGGGGAGGTTGTAGAGACACAGTGTGATGGAACAGAAGCTGTGCACCTGTTGGAACAAACAGCTGTATGTATAGCTGATATACAGCATAAAGGGGACTGAGGTTTAGTTTGGAAAAACTTTTCAAAACTTGGCTTGATACAGTGATGGGAGTCTACTGCTATGAAGAAGGAGAGATGTGGAATTAAAGGAATTCCACTGGAATCGACTGCACGGAAGATCCAGGTAGAGTAGTTCAGGTGGATTGGTCTGGCAGCAGGAGGCCAACTGGATAGCTAAACCTCCAGGTTCAGAAGCAGGCTACCACTGTGGCCAGGGCCAGTTTGTGCCTTGCATGTGAGCTTCTATGAGTGACCACTGTCAGAAAGAGGATGCTTGATCTGATCTAAGCAGGCGATCGATGCATAAACACAGATCCATTTAGATTCGCAAATAAATGAAACAATGGCTCCATTACAAAAAAAAAAGTATCACACAAATCATTTATTAAGCAAAACCACAACTCCCCCCCCCTTTCCCCCTTTTTCTTCATTTCAAACAAAGAACAAAAAATCATGCACGGAACTGGCACCATTGCCATGACCTTGGCTTAGCCTATCACACATACATCATACAAACATCCTGGGTTTAAAACAAAAAAGTGCAGGTTGGTTGGCTCTAGGAAGAGGAGAGGCAGATTCTGTTGCAGTCACAGCACTTCTAACTCTGGGTGAAGTTGCTGGGAGGCTCAAAATAAGCTCAGCCACCAGACATGAGGCACTTGTAGAATCTCATCCATTGAAAGTGGCTTCCCGTGCTGATGGAGAGTTAAAATGTGACTGCAACTGTTCAGCAGAACTTCAGGCTGCTACAGGCTACAGTGATTGGCCGACTGGTGTGTTGCTACTTGCCATTGGGGAACAATGCACCCGGCAGCCAGTACCTTGGGATGGGCTGCTTTCATCTGTGGCGCTGGGGACAGAGGGGCACTTTCATTCACAGCAGGAGGCAGAAGTGGAAGAGAAGAAGAAGAAGAGATTGGATTTATACCCCGCCATTCACTACCCAAGGGAGTCTCAGAGCGTCTTACAAACTCCTTTCCCTTCCCCTCCCCACAACAGACCCCCTGGGAGGTAGGTGGGGCTGAGAGAGCTCTGACTGGAAACTGCTCTTTTTCAAGGACAGCTGTGCCAGACCTATGGCTTGCCCAAGGTCATCCAGCAGGTACAAGTGGAGGAGTGGGGAATAAAACCTGGTTCTCCCAGATTAAGAGTCACACACTTAACCACTACACCAGACTGGCAAAAGAAAGTGCCGTAGAGCCTGAGACAGAAGCGGCCCACTCACTGCTGCTGTTGGAAAAGTTCACTGCCCCACAGCAAGCACAAAAGAAAAAGGGCTGCAACAGATTAGCCCACAGCTAGTGGCCATAACATAAACCAGCCATCAATTTGCTGATACGCTACAGGCAGCTTCAGAACTGCTCAAAGCCCCTTCCCTATGTTGCGTGCTCTGCCGGTGGTCTAAATTACCTGGCTTTTTATTTGTTGAGGAATTTTATCCTTTTCTCAACAAAAGGGATGTCAAAGCTTATTTCTACGGGGAGAGCTTCCTTTAAAGCAAAACAAAACAACAGGGCAATTAAGGGAAAAATAAATCTTTGCAATCTGTCGGTGGCCTGGAAAAAGGACACTCCTCTTTTGTAACGTCCTATCACATCCGGACCAGCTGCAAAACTGCCACAGAAACAAGTTTAGCTTTTTTGCAGCACATCATAAAATGAATTTTAAATTCTGTACCCTCTTAATCTAACCTTTTGTTTTCTTTCAGAAATTTGCTGTTAGGCCTTTGGGTAGGGTATTACTGGGTGTTGCAAGGCCCTCTTTAACTAGAGGGAAAAACGGAGGGGGGTGGGAGAGATGATCCAGTCAAAATTAAGTACCTTGAAGTCCCATTCAGTTCAGTACTTTTTATATCTGCTATTGAAATCAACACAACTTAAGTGCTAGATTGTACCATTATTTTCTTTTGCTGCTGTCCTCAAGCTTTTGGGCATCAGTCTCATTCCAGGACCTGCTTGTAACTTCCTACAAATGCCTCCCCCCATTTAAATAGGGGGGGGGGAGGCATTTGTAGGAAGTTACAAGCAGGTCCTGGAATGAGACTGATACCATCTTTGGAGTTAGAGAACCTTTCTATAAAGGTGCCAGTTAAGACGTGGACAGTGCTGAACTTACTAGCTGCTTTTGAAGACGAAAAAGAATCCATGATAATAACATAAACAAAAAAGGTTGCATTCTGAGCAGGGTTGAAACAACACCAGTTGTTTTTTTCCCCTTTAACACTAAACCAAACAGGAAGGGTGGTGGTCGTACGTTCGAAGTTTGGAAGTGATGCTGTCCAGTGCACCAACCCACCCTTTTGGGTGTGCACAGAGCTTTCAACCCAGTGCTGCCAGCAAGAGTAAAAGGAGCACTCCAGGTACCTCTCTCAGCATGCACTGGGGACATGCTCCAAAGGCCTCTGTCTCAATCTCCCCTTCTTGCTGGCAGTGGACGGTCAGCCCTTGATGCGACAACCCTTGATGCGAACCCTGCTGATGTAACAAACATTAAAGAACAATATACAGCACCCCTCCAAAAAAAACCCAGAATCCCCCACTTTTTTTTTTTGCAAAACAAATCTTTTCTCTCACATTCTTCTCACACAACAACAAACCAGTCCTGAGGTAAGTACTCCTGGAGCAGGTGCAGGCTGTCAGCATTGAGAGGACTTTCTTCTGACCTGCGCTTTATAGGGAATTATATTGATTGGTCAACAGCCTGGCCTGGGAAAGGCCTTTGCTCCGAGAAGCCTGGCCATTGTTTCCAGTACGGCTTGGCGAGGAGAAGACCCGATAGAAGATAAAGTGCAGATGTCTCTGGCCAGCCCACAGGCAGCCAGCAGTGGCTCCTTGGTGCCTTATGAGGGTCATTTGTGGTCACTGAGTTCCTTACAAATAAATAACCAACTGGCCGACGTAGAGGAGGACAGGGATGAGCCAGGTCCATGGCTCTCTGGGCAACAGGAGCTGCTCAGAACTTAAGGGATTATTCCAGAGCTGCTGCTGCTGCTGCTTTTGAGCAGTCCAAGGGCTTAAAGGCTTAAGGCAAAGGACGGTTGAGGCAAAGATGAAACAAAAAAGGAGTCTCAAGAGGATATACCCAACAGGGAAAGTTCTAAGGCTGCAGAAGGATTCACAGGCAAATGTTAAGACTCGTGGCCTTCTCCCAAGTCCTTAAAAACATCATCACACACCACACACAAAAAAGCACTGCTTCTAGTCTCTGAAGATACTTATTCTGGGCTCTCCTCTTTCTCCAGAGTAGGAGAGATCATCAGTGCACAACAGTCTGTATCAGGATCACTGAGATGATATTGCATTGTCCCCTCCCATTTTTTTTTTTTTTTTTTTTGGTATTTTGTGTGTATGTATGCTTGCAGGTCTGGAAGTCATGGGGACTTCTGGCAACCCCTAGTGGGGCTAGGACGTTTCACAGATGTGGCTAGATATTACTTGCCTCTGCGTCCCAGCCTTGGTATTCCTTGGAGGTCACCCTTCCAAGTACTTGCCAGGGTTGGCTCTGCTTAGCTGGAGATCTGATGAGACCGGACTTGCCTGGGCTACCCAGATCATGGAACCTTCTAAAGCAAAAAGTAATCAGGGTTTTCACCTACAGGGATTCCAGGGAAAGATGGGTGCTATTCTACACCCCTACCTAGTTTTTGGTTGTTGCCAGAAAGCAAGATGACGTAGCCTTTTCCCACCTCTGTGTGGAAGGAGCACAAAGGACAGACAGGAAGTGGTGCAGGAAACAGGACATAATTATGCTTTTTTTTCATGTGGCAGGAAAGGAAGGGGGAAGGCCAGGCGCCTTTGAAGCCTGACAAAAACTCCCAATGGAGGGGGTCCACTGGTGCCAGACTCCGCCTTCCAGCCTAGATTTGGTCACAGTTTTCCTGGGGCGGCGGGTGTGTGTGTTTCTATGATACCTGTGGCCTTAAGCCCCACCCCCATAGCTAAGGCAACGTTCTGGAAGATTAAGGGGGTGTGGTGTTCCTCTTTGGCACATAAACACATGAGAAATGTTTCCTTAGAATGACTTCTTTTCTGTGGGTTGGGCACCTTGGTCCGCTTTGCCTTGGTAAAAGGGGTGAAGGGGGGGATCCCATAGTCCTCTGCTCTTAGAAGAGGCAAGATCCCCGCAGGGGCCGAGCTTTGCTCAGTTCCGAAATGAGAGACCTGCTCAGCTGCTTGGTGGTGAGCTTCACACCTTTGGCGGCTTCAACCGCCTGGTTCAGGGCCCAGTTGAGGTCCTGCATTTCGTCGAAGTTGAGCGTCAGGGAGCAGGAGTGGCCTCGTTGGGGGTGCTGCCGTGAGGACCGCGTTCTCAGTGCAGTGGCTTGGTCCCCACTGGAGACATTAACAGGAACACCAACTGGAGAGGAAGCTGAGGTAGGCGCTGGTGGTGAACAGTAGCTGGGAGTGGAAAAAGAAACGTTCCATGAACTTCAGGGCAAAGAGAGTTATACTTCTGTGCTCAGTACAGCGGACAGTAGTGGTGGGTTCCAAGATCCCACCATGGTCTGAGGGAGATTTTTCTCCCTGTCTGCTAATATTGGAAGCAAGGATCACACACTAAATGAAACACACACGAAGCTGCCTTATCAGACCCTTGGTCCATCAAGGTCAGTATTGTCTACTCAGACCGGCAGTGTCTCTCCAGGGTTTCAAGCAGAGGTCTTTCACATCACCTCCTGTCTGGTCCTTTTAACTGGAGATGGCGGGGATTGAACCTGGGACTTCCTGCATGCCAAGCAGATACTCTGACATTGAGCCACAGCTCCTCTCTAAATGCAACTGATCAAACAGTAGGTTTCAGAATGAAGTGCAAAGCTGACTTTGTGGAATTCTCTGCCAAAAGAAGTGGCAACAGCCACTGGATTAGTTGTCTTTGAAGAGGGACTAGACAGTCATAGAGGTTAAGTCCATCAACAGCTATTAGCTCTGGTGGCTAAATGGAACCTCCGTATTCAGAAACAGTATCCCTCTGACTACCAGATGCTGAAGGTAGATGACAGAGGAGAGCTCTTGCTAGTTTGAAACAGGATGCTGGACTGGATGGACCCTAGGTCTGATCCAGCAGGACTCTTCTGTTCATGTGTGCATTTAGTTCATTGAGTTTCTATGCCTTAGACTTGGAATCTGGGGGTGCCAAGAGCTGGAATGATCTCTAAAAGGCACAGGAGGAGATGAGCCAGGATTTCTTGTGGCTTCACAGTGCCTTGGCAAAGCTTAGAGCCCAGCTGGGGCAGAATTGGGCCAATATAGGCAAAAGGGGCTTCATTAATGAAGGGAGCAAAAAAAACGAAAAAGTCACAATTCTGTTCCCGGAAAATGCTTCTAAGCACAACCCTGCTGCATGCTAATAACTCTGTTATTTGCTGGAAACGCTTTCATTCCTCTCACACGGACCCCTTTTTACTTATTTAAAGCAATACAAAAGCCATTATGGTGCAGGTGAGATAATTTGGAGGGCTTCAGTAAATAAGCAAAATGATATCCTTTTGCACATCTTCAAGAGGCACATCCCCGTTTACTTGGCTCCCTGTTGAGAACGATTTATAGCAGTCCCTAGAGTGTGAGACAAAACGGGAGCCCCCAACTCATCCAGGAATCTCCTCGTATATTTATAGGTCAGTCAATCTCTCCCAGGATTGTTGTAAGGAAAAGAACACCTTGTATACAAAGCCTCAAGCTCTGTGGAGGAAAGCTGGGTTAAGAATGTGACAGATACATAAAACCCAGCCTCCAACCTGTGCCTTGCTCTGCATTTGTTTTTAACCTCTAGCTGTCAAGATTTCCCGTTATCATTCCCTTCTCCTCTTTAGGCTGGCTTTTCTCCCTGATCTCTAGCCCTCTCAGCTGACAAATAAAGTGGATGAGAGGGTCCTAGTATGACCTGTGTCTGGGATCTGAGTTGCAGACCAAGGGTCTAGTTTAAACCCTGAATCTGGCGGGTATGCTGGCCACCTTCTGGCCACCGGTGCTGCCTCCTACAAAAACTGCCACAACAAGAGGACTTAGCCACTCCCCTGGGTCTATGCCACAGATACCACAAGAAGGCCAAGCCATAAGGGGGAAAGTCTGAGCCATCCTTACATTACAGATGATGGGAGATAAGCTGCCAGGGGAATGGTGGGGACGTAGCCAATGGATGCTGCTGGGGATTGGAGAGCCCAATACCACAGACCAGGCTGCTGCCGTTGCTGCCGATTACTGGGCCTCTTTTCCTCACTGTGGCCTTGTGATGAGGTGCTTTCTCTGTTGCGGTCGGCCCCTGAAGGTAACAAGAGTAAGAAAGACATGAACTAAACCGTCATGAACAGAACCAGGATCAGCTGACCTACAAAAAAGGAGAGGCAGAGCTTGAATTACAGGGATCCCGTACCCCCTACCCTTTTGAGACTGTTGGAGTGGGCCTTGGGATTTTACTAAGCCCCTCTCCCCACCTCTCCCCCAATCATTTAAGTGCTGGGTGAGAGTCTGACTGAAAATGGGGGTCTGATGGATGTAATCAAGCCCGTGCTGACGCAGCCCCCTCTGTTTCTTCTATACTTCTTTCTATCCGTTTGGTGTAGTGCCAGTTTGGTGTAGTGGTTAAGTGCGCGGACTCTAACCTGGGAGAACCGGGTTTGATTCCCCACTCCTCCACTTGAAGCTGCTGGATGACCTTGGACAAGCCACAGTTCTGTCAGAGCTGCTCTCTCAAGGACAGTTCTCTCAGAGCTCTCTCAGCCCCACCTACCTCACAGGGTGTTTGTTGTGGGGAGGGGAAGGGAAAGGAGACTGTAAGCAGCCACTCTGAGACTCCAAGTGAAGGGCAGGGTATAAATCCAATCACCTCCTCCTCCTCTCTTCTCCTTCCATCACCACATGCTGTTGCCACCATGGGGGTATCTGCCCACAGCAAACAACTCTTGCCCCAGCAAAAACACTTGCTAATGAGCCTTTCCCTATAGCCACCCTGTGGGTCTCCCTGTCTCTGTCCCTCAGTCCCAGCACCCACTGGGGTAGAGGGAGGAACAGTGTGCAGAAGGAAGCTTGGAGAGCAGCACGGAGTTTTCACCAATCTACGAGACAGGAACTAAGTGCAACAGAGAGAGACTATTCTTTGTTGACTTCATACAGACAACCAACTTGGATTCGTACCCGCTTCTTGACCAAACCCCTCAAAGAAGACTGTGCTAAAAGATTAAGATAAAGTTTGTCCTGAAAGGATTAAAAAAACCCCATTCTATAGCATATCTACAGTGACCGTGAAATGGATTTTGCCTAAGGGCACGTTGAATAAAAAGCCATAAGCAGACCTGAGCACTCCACGCTGCCTTGCTCAAAGTGACTGGTCGCCTTTCTCAGAAATGCTTTCACAGGTAAAGCCTCCCCCTCCCGATCAGTTCTTGCAATTCAGGAAAACAGCGGGGGAGGACAGACAATATTCTAATTCCAGTGCAAGTGGTTTGAACACTCATTTGCTGCAATCAGGTATTTATGTTCAGGGGAGAGGATGGGCGTTCGGATTTAACATAGGTCTCTCTTCTGCCCTAACATGCACCTCTGTCTTCTCTCTAAGCATTCTCTCACCGTGGGTTGTTTTGCTCCTGTGAGTCTTGGTATCCTTACACAGCGGGCCCGGTGCCGTCTTCTCTGGAGTGCTATGCTGGGTGAGTCTGAATGAATCACCGGAGGGGAGATGATGACCTACAAAATGCAGAGTGTGGAAGTCAGCACGTGAAGCTAAGGAAAATTAAGACAGTCTTATGAGCCAGGGTGGAAGTGACCCAAATGGCAAACTCTGAACTGACCAAGCAATCCTCAGTTCAAGTCTCTCCACAGCCACAATCTCAAAAGGCGGCCCTTTGGTAGGATACATGCTCTCACCCCTCCCATTATGACCATAATACTAGCCCAGTTTACAGGACTGTTGTAAAGATTACTGAGTCCAGAAGGGTTGTTTGCAAATTAATCTGGTTCCTTTCATTTCAACCCTCCCTTTCTCTAGTTTGAGGTTCAGTATGAATGCCACGCACAGTTTTGTCTGTTTCTTTGGAGTATTCATTAGTCACTTCTCCCAGTAGCTGCTTGCGGAGCCTCACAACAGAAATTAAAACCTTCCCACCAAAACAATCCATTTAAAAGTGACAGTCCTCCCCTATCAGTGGCACAAAGGGAATAAAAACCAGGTCAATACCGATGGCATAAAACCAGAACCAGCCAAAAATAAAACCCTCCAAAACCTGCACATAAAAGAATAAACCTCTCTATGCTAAAAAGAAAGTAGCCTTTTAAAAAAGGCAATAGAAAGTCCAAGTGAACAAAACCATTTCCCCTTCTTGCCTAAAACGTTATTCACTGCTTCCTTTATTGAAAGGTGTTCCATAAAAGAGGGGCCACTACCCAAAAGACCCCATTGCTGCTTTTGATGGGGGTGGGGTCAGCTAGAACAGGAGTTGAGACAATGATCTTAACAAGTTGGCAGACAGGTTGACAGAAAAGAAGGCAGGTTCTTAAAAGCTTGCTAGGAAGCAAACTGGCAGCCACTAGGGTGATAGGTTCTCTAAGAACAGGGTTCATTTCCTGCAAGAGCGCACAGGAGTGGAGCTCCGGCAGTAAGGAGCCCAGGGGGCGGGCACATGCAACAAGCCCTGCCCCCTGCTCCCAGCAGCTCTCAATCGGGTCACAAGGAGCAAGAAGCAGCCAGGTAAGTTGTAGAGGGCCCCCCCCCCCAATAGCTAGCAATCCAAAACACTCCAGTGGAGCCTGAACAGTGGGTGTTGCCTTCTGACATACTTCTGGTAATGTCAGGGGGTGTGGCATATGCAAATAAGTTATGCAAATAAGTTATGCTAATGAGCTCCTGCACCTCTTTGTCTACGAAATGACCCCTGTCTCAGAATCACTCAGATCAATAACTTGCACAAAGGAAAAGTAGTGCACCTATCTGCAGCCAGGCATGACTAACAACAAGACCATCCATGGTCTACAGAAGCCCAGGGAAGACAACAACCGTTCTCAGGACTGTCCGGCCAGTGCCTAAAGGAGAGATCTCTTGGGCCCTCCTAGGTGCACCACCTCGAATTTCATGATGGGAAAAGGGAAGGATGGATACATAATGATGACAAATCCCGACCATGGAGCAGGAGACAAATCAGGATTCTCAGTGCCAGGAGCAAGAAAATAGTAAGGATCTCTTTCCGCCATACAGAGAGGGTAGAGATAAATTTGGAAATTATGTTTTCGATGCTGCTTTCGTTCAAAAGGTACTTCCAATGAAATTCATTAATTTTGTTTTGCTCCAAGCTCAAAGGGTGGGTGCCTTGAGGAGGAAGAGCTGCTGCGTGTCCCTTAAAAATTAGCACTTTCCATTGACTAGAGAGGTTTCTTTCAAACTCAGCCAATCTGTATGTCGGAACTCAGAAACAATTCTAGCACTAGTTACCAATTAACAGAGCTTAATTGTTCAAGGATTTTTCCATCGCTCCCAGAGTTCAGTTGTTGCTAGGCTCTGGCATCATAAAAACAGGCTCCACTAAAAAATAGAGTAGGTTTAGACCTTATTTCCTGTAGGCAGAACTGCTTAACAGCCATACCTCATAACTATGACATGGAAACAATTTTTCAATAATCCCCCCCCCCCAAAAAAAAGGTTGCCAAGAAAGAACTGGCATAAGAAAGAAATTAAAGGCTTCTGAGAGTACCTACATATGGAGGAGGCTGCATGCTTCATCTCTGCATGATATACTGTTCAGACCACAGTTCCCTCTAAGCTGAGTTGGTGTGAGTTAGCTCACAGATTTTTAGCCTCCGGCTCACAGATTTTTGTCTCAGCTCAGGAAGGATGGCTCTAAAGCAAACTGATTTATGCAGCAGCCAAATCGCTCACTCACAACTTTAATGCCAGTAGCTCACAAAGTAGAATTTTTGCTCACAAGATGCCACAGCTTAGAGGGAACATTGGTTCAGACCATTCATGCTGGGTTTGGTGAGAGCTGGAGAATTCTGCCACATGGGATATCATTGCATCATTCAGTCGCTCTTGATTAGGGTTGTCAGGTCCCCCTGGCCACTGGCGGGGGGTGGGGGGGTACTGGGTTGCCAGTTCCAGGCTGGGAATCTCCTGGAGATTTGGGGATGGAGCCTGGGGAGGACAGGGGCCTCTGTGGGGTACAGTGGCATAGAGTCCACCCTCCAAAGCATCCATTTTCTCCAGGGAAACTGATCTCTTTAGTCTAGAGATGAGCTGTAATTCTGGCCTGGAAGCTGGGAACCCTACTCTTGATGCAGAGACTTGGCAGTATTACTAGATCCCAGAAGATGCTGCCCATTATGCCTCTGCATGAGTCATTGTTCTTGGCCCTTCCGCATCCAGTCAGTGACTGTCAATTACTACTCCTGATGCTGGCACACAATGGCTGCCTGTATCTCTGGAAGCTGCTCAGCCCAAAGCAATAACTTATGCACACAACAGAAAATCATCCAGCCCACTACTTTCTCCTCTAACTGGCATTGCATGGATTCTCCAGGGCCTCAGGCAGAGAAATATCTCCCAGAACCATCTATTCATGATCCTTTTTCATTACAGATGCTACTGAGAGAAGGTCTTCTTGATGCAAAACAGGTACTCTGTCACTGTGCTATAGCCCCTTCTTTCCAGGTGTTACCAATCAAATATTGCCTTCAATTTTCATTCACAAAGTGCTCCTGGAGTATCAGATGTTTGGAACTCACACTGCAGGTTCCGTTTAGAATTGTTTAAGGAAGCAACGTTATCCATTCATCAGTAAATGTCAAGGGGTTACCTAGGAGTTATTGCCTCTATGAACCAAACAGAGGATGCTTTCCGCAAGCTGTAAATGGGCAAATATTCCTACCTTCGGTGTCCCAGGCATTTGGCTCACACTCAGGTTCTTTTCCCAGATGGGATGTGACCTCTTGGCAATGGGGGCAGGAGTCAGGCCTTTTGTGAACTTTTGGTTTTCGGGACAAAGGGGTAGACAAGGGGTACCGTGTTCCTAGGAGATCAAAACAAGAACCTTGATGAATACTTGTTTTACTTCTTCACCCAAAGAGTGATTAACACATGGAATTTACTGCCACAGAAGGTGGTGGTGGCTACAAGCCTGGACGGCTTCAAGAGGGAATTGGATAAGCATACGGAGCAGAGTTTTTCTGGTACATATGGAACAACTGATTGGTTTAGCATT